GGGATGAGAATCACTTGAAACCAGGAGGCAGAGGTTGCAGTGAGCCGAGATTGTGTCACTGCATTCTGGCCTGGGTGACACAGTGGGACTCTGTCTCAAACTATTACTAGAGTTGGACAATATGGCTCCGGGAATTACTCTAAGTTGAGAATCAAGACATAACTCTGATCACAACCCTCTAGCCCAAACTAGCATATTTTCTCAAAGCTGGATCTGCCTGGAAGCAGCATCAGAATCCCACCGGCCCCAACTCAGACCACTGAATTATAATTTCCTGGGCATGTGTCTGGAGATCTGCAATTTAATAAGCTCCCTAACTAATCACCAGTGCTACACATGTCAGAGCCACTGTGGCTCTGAGAGGATCTGAGAAGGAAAGATCCCTTTCCCTCTCATTTTCACCCACTGTGGTCTGAGCCCCGGCAGCTCCATCTCTCCCTCAGTCTCCTTCTCTCCAAAGCTGAGGCAGATGTGGCAGTGCCACTTCCCAGCATTTGTGGCCAGTCTGTAACACTTGTTACTCTGACTTCAATTACAGCGGATGAATGCTTCAGTGACAGAAACAGGAGAGAAATCCCTGTGGCCATGGGCCTGAGTATCACAGGACTGCTTGTCATTTTGCTAACCGCATGTCTGGTGGCCAGAAAGAGGCCCAGTAGAGGATATGAACGCATGTAAAGCCCCACTTTCTTCAAAACGTGCAAGGTTAAGGTCTTGGGAATTCCGGCCTCATATTCAGCCTGAAGTGAAAGGATTGACCTGTCTCGTTGCCTGTTGCACCCTCCTGAGCTGATTAGGAAACCTAACTTCCCACCAAAGGGCTACCCCAGGGCTAGGAAACGGCACCTCCCCACTTCCTCCTGTTGCCTTGGGGAGGCCATGCCAGGTGTGCTTGACACCCTCTGCCACACCTGAATATACCAGTGCTGGCTTCCGGAATTAGGGGCAATAGGCAGAGACATGAGCGGGGTGCTTGTGAGAAGGGAGGAAGCAAAAACCTGGAGGGAGAATCGTGGCGAAGACATTTGCAAATTGACTGATTTTTCTTAGACATTTTCAAGAGTCCTGATTTTCAGTTTTCAAAAACATTACTTTAAAAAAAATCAATGCATTTCAAAGTTGGTTACAAAATGATTTTAAACTCCTGGATTTTACCAACATTTGGTTTACTTAAATTATAGATGATCTTAGTATACTATTATTTTTTAAAAAAGCATATCCTACTCTATGGTAATGTATTATCCATTTAAAAAATTAGGTAACTGCCTATTTCACTTTTTTAATTTAAAGCACATATCAAAGATCATGGCAAAAAAGGAGGAGCTCAATAAATATTAGCTCTTCCGTTCCTTCAGCTTCACGTGTTGTCTGCCTTCTTAGCTACTTTTTTCCTGGTTTGTTGGCTTTTCTTTGATGCTGTTTTATTCTTGTAAATGGGTCCATTTGGACCATTGCAGGAGAGGAGGGAGGCAGAGCAGGGAAACAATCCGGAATGGCAAGCAGGAAGAGGTAGACCCGCCTGCAGGATCACTCACTTCCCTTTTATGCAAACATTCACCAAAAGCAGTACATTCCTGATGGCAGACGGTTGATATCTGAGGAAAAATGCTATTAAAATATGGCTTAGGATG